TAAGTTTCGAAGAATAAAATGGGTAACGATAACATTTAAAGGTGTAATTTTAAACATTTAATAGGCTTAATCAAAAATTATTAATCTTTTATTAACTTAGAATTGAATAAACACACAAGGCCAATGTAATACATTTCATATTTAGGTAAATTGTTTGTGTGAAATGATTCAAGATGAAGTTTATGCTGTCTTTGCTTTGTTAACGTCAAGATCTCTCCACCAATTCCTGACTGATGATTGCCCGTTGTGATAACAAGTGGTTTTTGTGAATTGTCAAAAGGTAAGTGTGTTTTGTGTGGAGTTTTTGCACGTGAATTAAAAGACCAGAACACTGAACGCACCACCACTGAGTAATGTCCAGACACCTTTACTTTGCTCATTGCCAAAACGGCACAATGGAATATTTTAATACATTTTGTTTTTAGAAAAAATAAATGTACAATGAATTAATGTATTTAAATCAAATTCATATTCAAGATATTCATTCATGTGACATCAAGATAAGGCTTTCAATCATCTAACTTACTCTTGGAGTATAGTTATATTATTAACCACCAATCTCAGGTTATTTTGCGATTGTTAACACTTACATATCATAGCATAGTGCTGCAACCAAACATGAAATAAAGTCACATTTAGATGAGATCTATACTGAATGAATTGCATGCAGCCTGCATAACTGGTTGCAATTTTTTAGCTCCACAAGACAAATGTTGGGAATGGACAATTACTCTTGAATACCCAAATGCTAATTTCTTTCAGTAGCAGATGTCTTCATGCGTTCTGATGGTACGAGGTGCCAGTTCACTCTCAAACGTGGACGTTCTGCAGATTTTTCTCATTGGCTTAGCAGCGATTCCTATGAAATATTTCAATTGTTTAAATGCTTTTAAAACAAACTATAATAAAACTCAAAACATGCTAATTCACACAAACTTGCATGCATTCTCAAGAAAAAATGCAAATCAAATAGAGCACTATATACTAAATATTAGAGAGCTCTTTAGTAAATCAGAGTACATTGGTAAGCTCTACAGTTCAAATCCATAGTACTACCTTTTGAAGGTCATTCCCCTGGAAAGAACGTGGCGAATGTGAAGAAAAAGTTCCACAGAGACTCATGAGGACACAGATAACCAGCAGCACAACACTAACCAGCAACAGGTGATACCTGCACAAGGCTTTTTCATCCTAGTCGAGCAATGCAGAAGTGGAGAGGTTAGTTACATGTTGCTCATACGATGATGGTTCACAACTGACACTTATTGAACTTGATTGATCTAAATAGTGACACTGTAGAGCTGCTTTGCAGTTGAAATTGAATTTGTTGCATAGCTATTGAATGAATTTCACAACATTAACACTGTTATTTTCCCGTTTATTAATGTGAAGCTGCTTTGAAACGATCTTTACACTCTTTAAAATACAGGTTCCAGAGGGGTATGCCATAGAAGAACCATTTTTTGGTTCTCTGAAGAACCTTTCGGTGAACAATTCTTAAAAGAACCAATTTTTCTTAGTGTGAAGAACATTTTAATGGTTTAAAATCCTTTTGAGCAATGAAAAGGTTCTACACCTAAATAAAGGTTCTTTACTGGCATCTGTGGTTCTATGAAGAACCTTTAACACCCATGGGACCTTTCTGTTCCACAAAAGGTTTAAAGGGGTCATATGATGCGATTTCAAGTTTTCCTTTCTCTTTGGAGTGTTACAAGCTCTTGGTGCATAAAGAAGATCTGTAAAGTTGCAAAGACTAAAGTCTCAAATCCAAAGAGATATTTATAAAAGTTAAGAGTTAACCACACCTACCTAAAACGGCTCGTTCTAACACGCCCCCACATGTCTACATCACGATGTGGGAAGATTTGCATAACACCGCCCAAATGTTCACACAAAGAAAGAAGGCGTAACTTTTATTCTCGCTGTAGTATTGATGCTGCCGCCGCCATGTCGTGGAGATGCTGTGTGTTTCGTTGTGAAAGCGAAACTACTTTGTTAAGCATGCCAACATATTCTGTTACACCAAATACACAAAATAATGATCTTTAAAAAAGCATCATATGACCCCTTTAATTCCAAAAAAACTGCTTTATTTTAAGAGTGTATTGTATACATTGCTATATAAATAAATGTGACTTGAGCTCCACATAAAGATATGTAGAATTTGAATCCCCATCATTCATTGTTTTACACATCCCCTGCCCTTAACAGGTTCGATAATGAACTAGCTGATTCTATCTGAATGAATGCATTGTGTGTTTCTACCTTAGTGAGCAGGACTGTTAGGTGTGGATCTGGTGTGAACTCCAGACTGAAGCAGTGTGGAGAATTGTGCTTGTATGATTCTACAGCAACAGCTCTGACAGGTGCGGCGCTCTTGTCTTCGTTCTCTGCGACTGGGCATTCTGGAGGTGATCTGAAATATCAGTGGATCAGCTTGCAGGGTGTTCATTTCACGCAAAAATGGGTTATGTATGTATAAGCTTTTCACAGCGTTTGGGGGAGAACATGGGTCAGGGCAGTGAAATGAAGACAGGTCAGGGGTCGACTGCTCTGCGTGCCAGCAGGAGTTTGGCTGTCGGTAATATCAGTGTGCAGGAGCAGAGATATATTGACGGATACTTTCGCTGCAGCCCCTGTGACAGATTATGTTGACGTTAGTAGAAAGCAATATCAGGACACCAGCCAAAAGAACTTCATTCCTGTTCAATACATTTTCATTTCTCCTCTCCATCACATATAATATATTATAGTACATATAAAATCTTACAGTCACATTTAAAGAAAAAAATAAACTTAATTCAATAAAGTGAATAAATGTGAACTGCACTACCATGGTTATAATTAATTATAATGAAGTTATAATTAATAAGGTGCCTGAGCTTGACCAGAACATATTTCTGAAAGTTTGATATATGTGATATATTGATATTTGTGTGTGTGTATGTATGTATGTATATATATGGTGTGTTCAGTTCAGATGCAAAAGCCTCACTGTGCTGTCTGAAATTTTCTTCTAAAATGATAATTTTTATCAGGCTCCTATGTGTAGGTTCAGCAATTTCACATTAATGGCAATGAATATTGAATAGGTTACATATTGAACAGCGAAATAACTGAACATAAACATAGGAGCCAGAGAAAAATTATAATTTTAGAAGAAAATTTCAGATGGCACTTAGAGGCTTTTGCATCTGAATATATATATATATATATAATAAATAGAAATATTACATAAGAATCTTGCCTTAGTAACTAACTGAAACAAGTTTCCATTGAAGCAAATTCACTTAGTACTTTGAAATAAGACAAAACAGAAATATATGAATATATGAAAAATGTAAACTAAATTAAAATTAGAAATGTTGTCTTTTCAACTAAATTAAGTAGAAGCACTAAAATTACTAACTGGAAATAAATAAAACCTAAAACTAAAATTAAAATGAATTAAACCTAAATAGTAATATTTATATAGTTATAATTAATATACTTATATATAAAAAAAATGTTTTTTTGAATGAAAACCGAAAATATAAAAACAAAGGCTAAGTCAAAATATTAATAAAAAGTGTAATAATAAATAATACTAAAATAACAGTCTCATGCACAAACCTTTCATGCCCATCTGGCTGCCCAACATAGTGGCACTAATGGCAGTATTATCTGGGACGTCCCCTGTAAACGCCAGCGGCACCAGTAAGGAAACATGAGCGCTGCTCGTGGAAATATTTGTCCTATCTGAATGCTCCACCATTCGGGGAGAGTCTTCCTCCAGCGGTGCCTCTGTGTCGTTCAGATGTGTGCAGAACTTAAAACCAGCGATAGAACCCAGAACCCAGTTCCAGTCCTAGAAAACAAGCATATGAGTTAGTCTATAAATAACTGCAAAATCCAAGAATTATAGCAGTGATCCTCATACTCACTACACTTATGTCAGGGTTCTTGATGTCGTGATTCTGAGAGTAAAGTCCAATGCAGACGAAAGTTATGGAGAGGATTAGCAGACTGAGGAAGAACACAACCGCAGGAGGGTGTCGAGATACCTGAACTCTCAGGTTAGACACAGGCCTCCACTGACCCATAATGCACCAGGAGTAAAGACACCACCTGAGAGGTTTAAACCATGCCAAATATGTAATGCCTATATTTAGAATGGAATACTACCTTAATACTTAAAAGAATAGCTCTTCCAAAAATGGAAATGTTCAGCAAATTTTATATAAAAAAGTGAAACAATAGGTATAATTCCATTTTATAGTGCCTAGGGTTTAAAAAAAGTAGGATAAGCTACATTATATTACATTATGTAATAGCGCTGAATGTTTGTTTGGTTAATATCTTGGTGATAAATGTTTTGTTTTTTTCTCCACATTTTTTTGTAGAAATGTCTTAACTTTTAGCTGCTTGACTAAGCATTAATTAGAAATTATTCATTGTAATAATTGCTGTAAATGTAAGGTAAAATCGAGTGCTTTGCATTATGGGATCACAGTCCCATTTAGTGTGTACTCTATACATTTTAGCATATGTATTTTTTATATGTATATTTATTTATTTTATTTTTATTTAATATGTAGTATGTAGAGTACATCTAGTGTTATCTGGGTTCTTCATGAACGCTGAAAAATGTCCTTACCGTGCTGCATACTGTATACAGTAATAAAAATAGTATGTCAGAATGTTATTGAGGCCCTTTCTAAACTCATAGTTGCATAAAGTATGAACAGTTCAGTCTAATTCATGCCTTGATCGTATTATGAAGTTTACCCAATTACTTACCTTTAATTGCGTTCATTTAATTAGCGCGTAGAGACGTTTCACTGACCAGGCTGAAATGTAGTTTGTCATGTAAACATTGATAGATTGCGACGCAAGCAACTTCCTCACAGGTGGGTTTCCTTCAAGCTTTAATTCCAAAATAAAAGTCCAGCGGCGTAGACGCACACATTACAAATCTATCTAAAATGTTAGATTTTAATCAAATCAAATAAACTATGTGTTTTGTGCAACATATCTTAAGGAGTGTAATTTTAAAGTAACAGTATTAAATGCTCTATGTATTTGTTATACATTTGTATAACATTTTTATACAGAAGGGAAAAAAACACTTGCCAAGCATTAATAAAATCAAACTGTATGAAATGCAAATTGGCTGTTTAAATTAAATTAAATGTAAAATGTGTTCCGGGTTTCTGATAGTGATTTTTATAAAGAATTGATATTTTCGCTCGAACCTTCATGTTGTATTGAGAGATCTTTTATTATGTAAAGCAGAAAGCGGAAGTGCTGTCTGTTGTTTCCTCCTGCAGTCTGCCGTGCTCACTCCTAATGATTCAATTCATATTCAGATACTTAAATTGGATAAAAGCTGTTGAAAGGTGAGATTTTATGCTTTCATGTGTGTCGGTGCGTCTTGTTTAAACCCAACATGAAGCAAATCGTGTGTTTAAATCACCCTACCGTTACTTTAACGAGAAGCTAACCTGATGGCACAGTTTACTGTACTGTGAATATATAATTTACTAAACTAATATTTCATTAAGAATCTTACAGTCTGTATTTGATATTTAAAAGACATTTGACTTCTTACTCAAGGCAGATAAGTGTTATTTTTAGCATTGTTTATATGCTTGTATGCTATTAATATTTTGAATTACTTTTTACTTTCTATATTTTCATTTGAAAAAGTTTTAATTTTGACGTTTTTATTAGTTTTTCTATTTAGCTTTAATTTATATTATTTAATAAAAATAGTTAACATATATAAATAGTCTGTGTGTTTAATAATGAGTCATTTAGAAACGAATTCCTTGTTCATAAAATATCATGATAGTAATCTATGTTTTGACGTTTTTATTAGTTTTTTAAACACATCTAATTAGCTTTAAGTTATATTTATTAAAAAAGTGAACTTGTATAAAAAATATTCTGTGGGAAAATAGAAATTATTTATTATAAAATATTATGATAGTAATATATGACAGCTTTTTTTCCCAAGAGAGAAAGGTTTGTGTTTGGAGGCGACTGGAGACTGTTAAAAATACAATGAAACAAATCCATATAGACAACTGACAAATTGTCACAATATAATTTTAAATCGGGGCTTGTGATTTGATTTATGATCATTCTGATTTCTTTCATTTTTCAGTCATGTCCTCCGACGCTGTGAAGAAGAGAAAGCCGAAGGTCATCCGAAATGAAGCAGGAACTCCAGAGACCAAGCGAGGTCGAGCAGAAGGCGAGCAGGTGAGCAGCTCTGATCCGAAACGCACTGAAGCGCTAAAACCGCTTGTGTTAGTGCTGTTTGTGATGTGATTGTAGCAGAGCAGTCCATTAACCCTCAGTCATTCTCCTTTTCTAATAACTCTGATGTCCGTGTGCAGCTGAGTGCAGTCAGTTCACATGTCAAGTTCAGGAAGGTCAGGTTGAGGCAGGTGCAGGTACATGCAGGCTTCAGATGCCTTTCTTTCGTGAGCGGTGTTCAGATGAGTTTCAGTGAGCAGATATGTTGATGTGAGACTCGTGTGGCATGTGTTACGTAGGTCACGTATCCAGCCGGACCTCATCTTATCGGACAGAGGAAGCTGTTTACAGCAAAGACTCAGGTTCCCGTGAGATCTGTCTGTCTGTCTCTCTCTCTCTCTCTCTCTCTCTTTGACAGCTGAAGGATCCAAAATGAACACTTATCAATCAAACAATATAAAAATTGTAATTTGGACATTTTATTTCACGACTTGCAAGGGATAATGTTGAATGTAAGAATGATATTCTGTTTGAAAGTTAAATAATAATAATAATTATTATTTATGACATTATTGATGTTGTGATTCAGAGCAGCAGTAGATGTTTGTGAAGCATCTGAATGGTGGCTCTCTCTCTTCGCAGTCGCAGCAGGACTACATGCTGTATAAGGACACGTGTGCCGCTCTGGCCAAACTGATGGCAGAAATACAGGAGCTGAAATCTCTCTCTCTCTCTCTCTCTCTCTCTCTCTCTCTGACAGCTGAAGGGTCCAAAATGAACACTTATGAACACAAGCAATACGAATAAAAATCATAATTTAGCCATTTTACTTACAAATTGCAAGGGATAATGTAGAATATAAAAAGGATATTCTGCTTGAAAGATATAAAGAATAATACTCATAAAAATTATTCTGAACTCCATGTGATAACACTTTTTAGACATTCAGCCACCATATAAAAATATGAAGAGTTAATTGTTAAAAAATGAATAAAGTTAATTGTAATAAATAATTTTCACTATTGATTTATAGCATAATTGTCAATATTGCTATACTTATATAGTTTAGCATCATTCTAACAAAAATACTTATGTTTTAAATGTGTAATATTGACTTATAATGTTGATTTATGTAATGTATTACATAAGATATAGTAAGTAACAATAATAATATAATTGTTATAAATAATTTTAACATGTAATATTGCTTTATATTAATAAAATATAAATTAATATTAAAAAATTATATAGTTAAATTAAAAATGGTCAAAAGTCAATATGTTGTTTAGTGTAATTGTAACAAATAATAATAATTAATAGTATTATTAATAATAATGGCAATAATAATAATTATTATTATTACAAGTGTTTTTAAATATCATGTATATAAAATGTAATAATAATAATTATTATTATTGTTATAAATTTTTTTGCTGTGATCACAATCAAGTATTCCAGAGAGCTGTGTAATTTAACGTCAGTTAAAATCATTTTGGATCCCATTAAATCATAAATAAATACAATTTTGGACTTCCTGCTCAGCTGTCGACACGTTTTCTGTTGCACGTTTGGGTGAGGAGGGTCACATCGCACAGTTTTGTAGTCTCATCCCATAAGAAAGTATTGTTATTGGGTTGTTAGCTCACAGCTGTTAGGCAGGGCTGTGTGTGTGTGTTGCCTGGTCACTCAGTGTGTGTGTGTGTTCCTCAGGATGTCCTTGTGTATAATGAGGAGGTGGAGTTGGAGGGCAGGGACCCGCAGCAGGACTACATGCTGTATAAGGACACGTGTGCCGCTCTGGCCAAACTGATGGCAGAAATACAGGAGCTGAAATCCGGTGGCGCCAAAGTCGGAGTGAGTTTCACATTTGCCATATGTCAAAAAATGGAAGTGAATGAATGAATGAAGCTGACATTTGCTTTATGCATCCTAGAGTGTAGAGATGGAGGAGAGACGCAGACAGTGCAGCGTTCATTTCATCACCCTGAAGAAACTCAACCGCCTGGCGCACATGCGACTGAAGAAAGGCAGAGATCAGACACATGAGGTAAACACACAAGTTCTGAATGGATTATTATTATTATTTTAAATTGTTTTGCTATTTCAATTAGCTGTTGTCATTTTAATACTTCAACTTATTTCAGTTATTTGCCAAGGGATCATTGCTAATTTTCTTTGTTTTAAGTTTTTCATATAATAATTAGATTTTTATCTCAGCTTTATTTCAGTTAACAATTAAGTTAAAACAATTAAAACAATTTTAGTTTTACTAGTTAACAATAACACTTGACAATTTTGCATATGCAAATTTGTATCCTGTGCCTTGTATACATGCAATGCCTAGTGCTTTATTTTAATTTGTGTCCAGTAGGCCTGTCGCGATAATTAAATAACCGTTTAATCGCGATTATTTGATCTAACCACGGTTATTGTGCTTTTTATACGACACAAGGGGGAGTCATACACCAAAAGAAACAGAAGAGCACCAGTTTGCTTTTCATGCACTGTATAGCCTATACAGGGCTCCAGACTTATTCTTCCCACTGGTCGCTCTTTTGCAACTAACTTTCTCAGCTGGTCGCACGAGCACATGATTTGGTCGCAATATTTTTTATTTTGTTTGTTTTGCGCTACAACATGGGATTATTCAATGCATGTTGATGAACTTTTATCATAGTTTATAGTTATATGGAAACGAAAGTGGTTAACATTCAACCCGTTCGTTCTTTATCATCAGTAGTAGTATTTGTGATTTGAATTTTGTGAATTGGAGTTTCTCTTATGCTGTGTTAAGCCGCGGGCTTCGGATGCTTTCACTTTCGAATTCGCGATCTTGTTGTCACTGTTTTGCTTACATACATCTACACACCTTTCATTTTTTAAGACTAAAACAAAAGATGGATTCATTGTTATTGTCCTCATTTGTAAGTCGCTTTGGATAAAAGCATCTGCTAACTGACTAAATGTAAATGTAAATATTCTTAATTAAAAAGCACAACAACAATAAATCAGTAAGATACAATGACAAGCTAGCTTATAAAACGTTTATTAACAAAAACGAATAAGACGCATGGCACACACCACATGCTGTATTATATACCGACTAATAAATTACAGAAAGTTTAGCAAACACTGAGGAATCAAATAAATAAAAAAGAGCCTCCATAGCGTAATGTGAGGTAAACAGCAAATATATGTTTTTCAAAAATGAAAACAAAAAGAAAAGTAAAACTAATGGTGACAGTGCTTGCATGGTTTTTTTCCCCCACTAGAATACCAGCATGTTCACCTTCTCTGGTTTAAGAAGCGGTCTTTTACTTGACTTTCGCTTGAAAACCATCCATCGTTTCCTCAATATGCACGTAGACTTGTGCCGGTATTCGGTAATGCGATATATCACGGTAATGACTATGCACGATATTGTTATCGTGGGCACTGAAAACAAAAAGAAAAGTAAAACTAACGGTGACTGTGCTAGCATGTTTTTTCCCCCCACAAGAATACCAGCATGTTCACCTTCTCTGGTTTAAGAAGCGGTCTTTTACTTGACTTTCGCTTGAAAACTATCTATCGTTTCCTTCAATATGCACGTAATTTTACCCGCGCGCACCTTCGCGCTCGTGCTGACGCGGCGAGTATACTCTCTAAGCG